ATGAAACGGTAATACTAACCGTGGGGAATTTTATCATGATTTATCGTCAAACTGAAGACAGACATAATCGTTACATCCCTATGCCATGTACTAGCGTCCATCATGATTTTATCTGAGTAGGTTGGCTCGTGCTGTACCTGTGTCCATCTCCTCCATGCTGTTTAGGAAGTCTTCCGGAGTGGTGGGGATGCTGTAGCAGCCCAGTCCCAGCCCGCTGTCTGTGCTCTGCTCCCGCGAGTGATACGGCCCACTGCGCGCGCACACACACACACACAGACACACAGACACAGACACACACACACAGACACACAGACACACACACACTCAACACCTGTCAGTAATTCTTGGAATCAAGTTCAGGCGACAGACTACGGTGGCACTCGGCCCAAGTGTAATCCAGACAGACAGAAAGAGAGAAGGAGAGAGAGGAGGACAGTAACATCAAGATTTCATAACAGACTACCATTTAAAAGTTTGGGTTCATTAAGATTTATTTTTCCCCTTTTTTAAAAGAATTACTTCTATTCAGCAAGGATGCATTACATGGATCAAGAAAAGATGCATCAAAGTTTCCGTGCAGAAAACAGCACAACTGTAATAATAATCAGAAATGTTTTTCGAGCACCAAATTAGCATATTAGAATGACACTGATGCTGAACATTCAGATTTGCGTCACAGGAATAAATTACATTTTATAATATATTACAATAGAAAAATGTTGTTCACACACACACACACACACACACACACACACACACACATACAGTCAAACTCATTTGTAACATTAAACTGAGAGCTTTGAGACAGTAAAGAACACTCTTGCCTGTTGAGGAAGGGGTCTGAGCTGTTGTTGGGCATGTTGCCCTGCGTCATTGGCGGAGAGCTGATGTTTGCTGCCACCGGTGCCATATTATCAGAGTCCATGGGCAGCTGCCGGAGCGCCACCTCCTGGAGAAACACACACACACTGTAACCCCAGCACACTCACAGAGATCACTTTCACCCTGTTAAACATTAGAGACGGTCAAACATTAACATGAGCGACTGAAACTAACATTTACACTGAACATATGACTTTGTTTAAATAAACCTGCCAATCTGTGTTCAGAAAACTGCTTTACCGCCTCAACTAAAATAAATTCAATACACCTTGTATTTAAAGTTATTATTGCTGGTACAATTATCAGGAACATACAATAGATGTAAATTAATATAGTTTATTCAATACCCAAATATCAATTAAAACTAGTTGAATATAGATAAATAGCTAAACATGTTTTATTGGGTTAAGGGTTATCACTATTCTGGTGGCACTTTCTGTTAGTAGCTATGTTGCAGAGAGATAAAGTCTTTAATATTTTCATGTCAATATTTAATTATAGGCATTGCATATATGCATATATTTAATAGCTATAGTGGGTAGTTAAAACATCTTTAAAAGAAATTAATGTGAACTTATAAGCAGCTCTGCAAACAATATTTGTCATTATTACGTATTTTATTGTAAATATTGCAAGTGAAAATACTTGTATTTTTTGTAAAATTTCTAATTTAGTACATTTTTATTAGTACAACTTAATTACAAAGTTTATTATTACTGCAATACTGTAATTGATTATTAATTTCATTGATTCAATATTCAAACAACTATTTTATTACAAATTATATTATCATAGCATAACAATTTAACTAATTTAGCACGTTTGGTATTCCTTTTACTTTAAAGATTAGTATTTACTATTACAATCTGAGTGTTGTTATTGTTCATTTAAACTAAAACTACTAAAAAAATGTTTTTCTTTATTTAAAATAAAGCAGAAATAAGTTAAATTTAAGCGGAAGTACCAAAATTACTTAAACTAAAACTAAATTAATATAATATAAAAAGAAAAATAAAACTGTAAAAAACAAACAAACAAAAACACTAGATGTAAACAATACATATTAACATGATTTTGATGTGGAAAAAAATCACTTACAAACCATTTCTGTGTATATTGTTATATGCAAATTTACTTTTTTGAAACTTAATTGCCATGAAAACATAACAGCTAAAATCCTAAAATGACTGTAAAAACGATTTAAACAACTTTCAGACCAAATAATACACTACATTTTAACAATAAGTTTTATCAGAAGAATTAATGTAAATGGTTTTCTAAAATGATAGTCAAGTCAAGTCACCTTTATTTGTATACCTCTTTATACAATACTGGTTGTGTCAAAGTTGGAGCTAAACTCTGCAGGACACCGGCCCTCCAGGACCGAGTTTGGACAGCCCTGTACTATAACAACTAAAATAACACTAATGCCGTACTCTATCATGGTTTTTTATCTGGTGCTGTACCTGTGTCCATCTCCTCCATGCTGTTGAGGAAGTCCTCAGGAGTGGTGGGGATGCTGTAGCAGCCCAGTCCCAGCCCGCTGTCTGTGCTCTGCTCCCGCGAGTGATACGGCCCACTGCGCGCACACACACACACACACACGCGCCTTTAACACGACTTCATACCCTCAGAGAGCAATCTGGGAGATCTGGACCAAGTCAAACTCATTTTTAACATTAAACTAAAGAGAGTAAAGAGCAGACTTGCCTGTTGAGGAAGGGGTCTGAGCTGTTGTTGGGCATGTTGCCCTGCGTCATTGGTGGAGAGCTGATGTTTGGTGCCACCGGTGCCATATTATCAGAGTCCATGGGCAGCTGCCGGAGCGCCACCTCCTGGAGAAACACACACACACTGTAACCCCAGCACACTCACAGAGATCACTTTCACCCTGTTAAACATTAGAGACGGTCAAACATTAACATGAGCGACTGAAACTAACATTTACACTGAACATATGACTTTGTTTAAATAAACCTGCCAATCTGTGTTCAGAAAACTGCTTTACCGCCTCAACTAAAATAAATTCAATACACCTTGTATTTAAAGTTATTATTGCTGGTACAATTATCAGGAACATACAATAGATGTAAATTAATATAGTTTATTCAATACCCAAATATCAATTAAAACTAGTTGAATATAGATAAATAGCTAAACATGTTTTATTGGGTTAAGGGTTATCACTATTCTGGTGGCACTTTCTGTTAGTAGCTATGTTGCAGAGAGATAAAGTCTTTAATATTTTCATGTCAATATTTAATTATAGGCATTGCATATATGCATATATTTAATAGCTATAGTGGGTAGTTAAAACATCTTTAAAAGAAATTAATGTGAACTTATAAGCAGCTCTGCAAACAATATTTGTCATTATTACGTATTTTATTGTAAATATTGCAAGTGAAAATACTTGTATTTTTTGTAAAATTTCTAATTTAGTACATTTTTATTAGTACAACTTAATTACAAAGTTTATTATTACTGCAATACTGTAATTGATTATTAATTTCATTGATTCAATATTCAAACAACTATTTTATTACAAATTATATTATCATAGCATAACAATTTAACTAATTTAGCACGTTTGGTATTCCTTTTACTTTAAAGATTAGTATTTACTATTACAATCTGAGTGTTGTTATTGTTCATTTAAACTAAAACTACTAAAAAAATGTTTTTCTTTATTTAAAATAAAGCAGAAATAAGTTAAATTTAAGCGGAAGTACCAAAATTACTTAAACTAAAACTAAATTAATATAATATAAAAAGAAAAATAAAACTGTAAAAAACAAACAAACAAAAACACTAGATGTAAACAATACATATTAACATGATTTTGATGTGGAAAAAAATCACTTACAAACCATTTCTGTGTATATTGTTATATGCAAATTTACTTTTTTGAAACTTAATTGCCATGAAAACATAACAGCTAAAATCCTAAAATGACTGTAAAAACGATTTAAACAACTTTCAGACCAAATAATACACTACATTTTAACAATAAGTTTTATCAGAAGAATTAATGTAAATGGTTTTCTAAAATGATAGTCAAGTCAAGTCACCTTTATTTGTATACCTCTTTATACAATACTGGTTGTGTCAAAGCAGCTTTACAGTGTCAAACAGGAAAATAGTTTGTCAATAATGCAAGAAGACAATAACAGTCATTTTTCAGCTAAAGTCAGTTCATTGATGATTCAGTGATATCATCATCCAGTTCAGTTCTCTTCCAATAGTGTCTGTGCAATCAGTCAAGTCCCCAACTAAGCAAGCCAAAGGCGACAGCGGCAAGGAACCAAAACTCCATCGGTGACAGAATGGAGAAAAAACCTTGGGAGAAACTAAGCTCAGTCAGGGGCCAGTTCTCCTCTGGCCAGACAAAACCAGCATGGCGTGGTTTAATTCCAGGCTGCAGCACAGATCAGATTGTGCAGAGGACTCGTCTGGTTCCTGTGGTCTTGTCCCGGTGGCCGTCTAGGAGACAAGGTCTTCACAGGGGATCTGTCTCTGGGGTACATCTAGTTGACATGGTCTCTGCTGACATTCAGGGCTGTAGAGGTCGTCTGTAGGTGCTGATCCACCATCTGATCTGGATACAGACTGGATCCGTAAGGCTACAATAAGCTCCACATTTCTGCGTATAATTCTGCTGGTCAGAGCAGCTCGGCCTGTTTATATATAGATGAGTGTCTCTCGGCATGAGATTCAGGGTGGAGTATGTTCACAAAAACAGCTGCAAGAATTCAGTCCAGAAGAAATCTGTGGAAGACGTCCAGCACCAGAAACCAATGTCTGACTCATCTTTTTTAAAGCTGTTCTCTTTTTTCAGCTTTAGTCCACAAACATATGCAAACAGCACACAGAAAAACATGTCCATCATCACAAACCAAGCTAACAGAGTCACGGAAGAGTCAGAGATGTTTCATATAAACACAAGCTGCGTGAGGTCTGTCTGCCGCTGGACCGATGTGTTCTCGTTTGAATCACTTCTATAAACCTGAGCTGTGATTTATGTTGCTTGCTGAGAGCAGCCACAACTTCAGTACCACTAGAGGGCGTAAAAGTTCACACAGGACTCTCCCAACTCTTTTTTAAGCTGACTCTTGTGTTACAAATAGAATATAGTATTTATTATTAGTTTGAATTAGCTTTTATTTTGATATTTTCAGTTTGCATTTTAATTTAATTGTAGAATATGTTTCTATTGTGTGCTTTTGTTATTTCTTTTCTTCTTTTTTTACAGTTTACCTTTTTTCATCTAATATTTGTATTTTATTTGATTTCAAATACAAAACAACAAATAAATTATCCTATTTCTAAGTGTGATTTATTTTTTGTGAAATCAATCACGGCGACACCTGGTGGGGTTTGAGGCATCAAGAAACAAATTATTCTGCACAGCAGTAAGAAAAGAAGAGTTTTTGGTTTGGATTAAAACGTTTTGCCACCTTTCTAAGGCCCTGTCCACACGAACGCGGGTATTTTTAAAACCGCAGCTTTTTCTACACGGTTTGGCCATTCGTCCACACGCTAGTCTCAGCCTCAAACGTCTGATGCATATGGCACACAAAAGTGGAAACACTTCAGGAGTTTCGAAGTCGTCATCAGGTTGGTTGAATTATACAGGATTTCCGGTAGACGTGCGTGTCACGTTCTTTAACGTTCCGCTGGAAACAAAGATGCCGTGCCGCCAAACCCCCTCACGAAAGAAGAAAGCCGTTGTGTTGTGATGATGAGCGCTTATCAGGATAAACTAAACGCTGGATTTTCAAAAGTATGTTAAATATTTAAAGTTCACGGCATAGAATCTTTAAAATACTTCCGAGAGTTTTACACACGGTCTGTTATTGTGGCGACATTTCCACGCCCCGAAATGTGACGCTGAACGAAACTAACTGTGATTGGTTGTTTGACATGTCGGTCAAACGGCCTCATGGGTGGGCCTTGGCCAATGAAAGCTGCCATGAATTCCAGACCTTCAGCCGTCAGTCTGAAGAGCTGGCTACACGAGACTATCCACATGCAAACGCAGCACCAGTTCACTGAAACTGAACATTTTTGAAAACGCCTGCCAGGGTGAAGATTTTCAAAAACTCCGGTTGCAGTGTTATCGTGTAGACAGCGAAACTGGAGTTTTTGGCTTGTGACGTCGGAGCCTGCGCCGTTATCTCCGCCTACTGGAAACTTTTTCAGGTTGGCCAACATGGCTTTACGGTTGAGATTATATCGCCACCTGTTGGTTTGGCATGCTCTTGACAGTGCTTCATAGCATGCGTTTGCGTTTTCATGTGGACGGAGATTTTTTTTTTAAACGGAAGAAGGAAAAACTCTTTTATAAAAATACCCGTGTACGTATGGACATGGCCTAAAATCCAGTTATTTCCGTGTCTGTTTTGCCCTTTATGCTATATTCGGTAGCATGTTTCTCCAGCATACACTCACCTGTCTCAAGAGCTCCTCCTGTCTCCTCTGGATGCGTTCTCGCTCCATCTGGATGCGCTGGAGCCTCATCTTCTGCTGGTGCTGCTGGGCGCTCATGGGGCCGCTCATGTTCATCATGGGCTGAGAGCTCTGCTGCTGGGAGCCCTGGACCTGAACCTGCGGCTGCTGCTGCTGCTGCTGGAGGTGCTGCTGATGGGCCTGCTGGTTCAGCACTGCCACAAACACACAACAAACACGCTTAGATCCTTTACTGAGCAGAAAAATCACAAGAACTTTCTCGATCTGGCAAGCTCAATCCTGACTGGCTGGTTTTGAACAAAAAGGCATTTACAAGGCACCAGGCATCTACAATGAGAGACACTTTATATTCTGAGTTGTAGTTATGAAATAAGACATACTTTATTTTAAAGTCTATATAAGTCTACATTTCTGTCCTGTGATTGGTTGCTTTCCATATCAGTCAGATGGTCGTTTCTATCTAAATGGCAAATAGCCAGGCTATACGCGCATACCTAAAAGTCTGTCTGCACAAAACTAGACAGATTCATTCATGCAGGTTCTAATCCTCATGCTAAAATGGCAAATCATAGTGTTTAGAATGTGGCTATGTTTCTGATCGTCTGAGGAAAAACAGGTTAAACAAAGATGGCACACAAACACAATGACTCAATTACAGCTGGCCAGAACGCAGCACGGAAAGTGTTTACCGAGAAATCTCTTCCTAGTCTTATTGAAAAAAATATTGGCCTTAAAACGGCTTCAGTGTGGCAAAACAAGCTCTGTTGTGATTGGCTACGCTCTGGGTGCCAGTTCACACTGTTGATGACTAGGGAGGGCCTCTTTTAAATAACACAAGAACTTATAATATTTGTTTTATATCATTTAGTTAAAAAGAAATGTTTCTAAAGTCAGCAAGATGGTCATTTTTTGTGAATGAAATGTTTACAATAACTGCTGTATTCTACTGGGATTTAATGTATCTCCAGAGTTCTGGACTGTGAAAAACTGTTCTGTTTCAGTGTAAAGAATGTCTGATATTGTCAGAGGAGCAGACAGATAAGAAACGATGTTTGCTTCAAGGACGCAGGCACAGTTTCACAACTGACCTTATTGCACAGCCATTTGATCTACAGCACAATGTTTCACATGCTTTACTTCAAACTCAACCAGTTTCAAGATCATAATCGTTTCACACCACACAGGAAGAAATGAACTGCAGCTCCAGTGAAGAGTGCTGCTGACTCGTGACCATATGGAGCATGTGTGTATCTGTGTGTGCGGTGTGTTTATCTGTCGGGTAAACCACTTTCACATGGACAAAACGTTCCTGTAAAAGCCAGATGTGGCTCTTGGATTAAATGTTGTACTGCTTATTTCAAAATAAATATGGCGCACTCAGGGTTTGAAATTAACACCCGCACATTCCAAACACAGCCACAGTACTGTTTTGCGTCTCTGAGCAACATGACGTTGTTTTGTTTCTGAATGAATCAAACATGTAAATGATTCGATTCAATCGCAATGACTAACTTAACAGTGACTTGCTGCCACCTACTGGCGGTTTTAATTTCACATTTAAAGTATCTTTTCATTTTTAAAATAATT